TCAGAAGTTCATACCCTGGAAATCCTGTTGGGGTCTCTAAGGTGTGTTGCTGGATTCGAATCTGGCTCTCCTGCTGCAGACTGACACGGCTACACAAGGGGCACCTGGGACGGTTTGACTTCTCCTCTGCCCTTAAAAAGTGTGCACGTGGGTAGTGAGGTCCCAAAACTAACATTACAACTTCGAGCCCTTTTGCTCCCTGTGGACATCCCATGGGCCGCTTGGTTCTGGAGCTGACTGTTCGGAAAAGAACAGTGGGGAAAGATGGCAGGCTTCGGGGTTGCTACAGAACGCTGCTTCTGTCCGGATTCTTGTGTCTGTGTGTGGCTGGAAAGCTTGCAGAATTCCTCTCCTCCCCCTGGACAATGGGCTGTACCACCCCAGAGACCTACAGGCGTCATAAGCAAGGTGCGTGGTGTGACCCCTAAGCATGTCAACCGCTGAGCATGGGGCTCAGCAGAGGTGTTCAGGCGTGTGCCCTCTTAGTCTTCAGAGCGCCAGGCAGAAATGTGTCAGAAATGAAGTCAGTACAGGCTCTTTCTTTGGAAGGAAGTCCTTTAGTCGTTGCTCTTCAGGGATATCTTTGCTGCTACAGGCTTCTGTCCCCAAATGTGCCTATGCTGGCCAAGTTTGGTTTAGTGAAATCTGTTATCCTAATAACGTGCTTTTTTAATAGAGGGCTGGTGGCAGGCGGTCACTTCACTTCCCTGCCTGTGAGCTTCAATTGCCTTTTCTTGTTCCTGAATCCTTCTCCTCTTTATTTGATGCAAATATTTAAAGACACTCAGGCCTAAAGTTGCATAAATGAAGGGAAAACAGCTGTGGTTGTGAAGGGGAGCAGTTGCGCCTTCCGATTTTATTTTTTTGGCTTGCTGAAGTTGGGTCACAGCACAAGGCATGTTGAATTTAGGATGAGAAGAAAATAACCTTCTCCAGCTCCCCCCCCCCTTCCAGCAAGGGGAGGGGAAAATCCATGCAGATATGAGCTTGCTAATTTGTAGGACATTCTAGGCTTCCCTTGTGAGTATACATCTCTGAAATTGCATAAGTATATAGAGAGGATAAAAGCTAAATCTCAGAAAGCTATTACAGGGACCACCACGTAAAAAGAAACGCACATATTCCAGGCTTGTAATTCATTATATTTGCAAATACATCAGCGACTAATTTGCACGCAGAGCGGCTTGTGTCTTTTTGGCATCCAGTCGCTGTCTGGATTGAAATCTTTCCCAACTTTTTTGTGGATTGGGTTATATATTCACTCAGGAAATCACTGTGTCCCGGACAAGTTGCAACAGCCCCTTCCAGAGCCGGCCAGACCATTGTGGCGTCTGACCAGACAGCTCGAAAAGTACACTGATACAAGCGAGTCTTTATCTTGCTGCGGCAATTCCCAGAATCCCCAGGACTGGCAGTTGGGTGCGAAGGGAGGGGAGTTTTGGCTTGGCAGGACTCCTGGTCAGCGGGGTAGGAATGTGGCGTACCTCTTGAGAAATGTGTCCCCGGTTGGACACGGCCAGGATGTCGGACTTGGCTGGTGGCTGTAATTGAGTGCCGGGGGAGGGGGAAAGTAATACACCCCCGTTCCTCCTCTTGGAAAACAAAAATCCTCGAGGAGGCAAACCAGAAAAGTCAAAAATTTGGGATGTCGGACTTGGCTGGTGGCTATAATTGAGTGCTGGGGGAGGGGGAAAGTAATACACCCCGGTTCCTCCTCTTGGAAAACAAAAATCCTAGAGGAGGCAAACCAGAAAAGTCAAAAATTTAACTCCTTGGTCCTGGGAATTTGTAGGGCGTCCAAGGAGAATCGTCGGGGAGGAGCGGTAATGTCTCTCCTTAGACCGGCACACATCCGTTTTGGAAGAAAGTGTGCACACATACAGACACATCCCGAGCATTCGGGTACGTGCAACTTCCTTTTCCTTTTAGGAAAGGAACACAGACTGAACGTACCACCCAAAGAAGCCTTTGGAAGGCCCAATTAAATTGGCTCTCCTGCCTTCCGCTCCCCTCCTAGCCGATTCCCCCATTTAAAGTGGGAGGTTTTTTTCCTTGTTTTCGACTCAACCCCCCTTCCCGCCAAAGCCTTCAGGGTCAATCCAGTCCCCTTGTAGCCAAACCGGGCTCTAAAGAGGCACATTATCTTGCATAGTTGGAGGGGGATGCCTGCTTAATGACTTGTCTATCTTCGGCTAATCATGCGCTAAACTGTGATGGTGTGGGGTTGCCTTTATACCTATGAATGAGGAGAGGCGGGGCTGTGAGAATGGAGGATGCAGATGGGGGTGGGGGGTGGGAAAAACAGAGATCTGTTCCCACTCTGGGCCGCACAAATAAGAAACCTTTCCAAGTCCCAATCCTTGGGAGTTCTGATTGAATATTGTTCAGTGTCCAACGATCCGTAGCTAAAATCCAAATGTCCTCAATGAAGTCTTAGTTGACCCTAACAATGCTATAAGTGTCGCCTTTGGATTTTTCCTGTGGACCGGCCCCCCTATCTGCTCCATTTCTATCATTTTTGGTTTACCCTTTTGATTTCACGTTATGTGTCTGACAGAGAGATCTAGGTTGGTGAAAGGGCTCAGACTCGAGCTTTGGAATTAGAGTGAGTGGGTGAAGGGTTTTCGTGGGTTCCTGTGTGTTTGTGTCTGTCTCGCCCGCTGTGATTTAAGCAAAAACCCTGAGCGTCTGTTCGTCGGTCCACCTCCCAAAGTTAGAGGCCTTTGCTTGGAAGCACTGCATCTCCGTCAGACTGAAAGGGGCGGCTTTGATTTTGTTCCCAGAGCCATTTTGAGGGAGCTGGGACAGGAAGGAGGTCAGGGGATGTGCACAATTGTTTGTCTCGGGAACCGGGTGGGGTAGACCGATTCCGGCTCGGTTTACGTTTGTTCCAGTGCAGAAATGGGCTAAATTTCAAGGCTTTGGTGAGGAGAGCCGGTGTTGAACTCCTGAGAAGACCCGGCGAAAAGCTCAAGGGCCTGGAATCCTGAATAAAATAGCTGTAAATGCTCTCCATTTTTTTTAGTGTATGCGCGTGCGCCTGGTTTTTTTTCCCGACCAGACATTGCCAGCGGGGTATCATATGCTACCTTAGCAGATAATTATGCAGAGAGTGAAAACTGGCTCTAGGGTTCCTAGACTGTGGCTAGAGGCAAATAACACTGGGATAAATTTGAGGTCTCCTACAGAGGAAATGCAAAAAAAGAAAAAGAGAACAAAACAAAATCAATCATGCGTCTGGCTGCCTGCATTTAACTCTGCCCTTTAACTGCTGTCTCTGTCTCTCCTCTTTTGGTTAGGGGTGTGTGTGTGTATGTTGTGTTTTAACCCACAGTGGCCTGTAACACACATGCAACTCGTGAGTTTCAGTCTTCTTTTCCCCCACAGTGTGCAGTATGGCTTTGCAGCCACACAAAGTGGATTTGTGGTGGTTGGATGTGAGGAGGGGGCCCTGTGAATTGTATAGTGGGCAATGAGTGGGAAAGAAGGGCCGTTTAAAGGACAGGGAGCTTTTCTGCAGAGGGACACACGAGGACCTGCGGCGCTGCTGCCTTTCGGGTTGTGGTACTCAGCTTAAGCGTACGGAGGGGAGAGATGTCTTTTTGGTGAGCCAACAGGAGAAGTTGGACGAGCGTTAAGCAAGCTGTGTTTCCCTCCCTTATAGCACCATTTATTCATTATTTAAGTACACGATTTGCACTCCTCTGTTCTCACGGAGACTTCAGGGCGGATGACAGAGTGTAAGGCCATGCAGCCAATAGAATGATACACCTAATAAGCAAAGTAGCCGGGCTAGGAATGGCAGGATTCTGTCTGCACAAAGTATAAGTATTAAACATGACATGTTATGCAATGCAGAATGTGCTGTTACATCCACATGCACAGCGTTGGGACAGGTCCCCTTCGAGGAACTTAACAGTCTAAAATTCAGCGCAAGAAGAATATGACCATGGGGGTGGGGTGGGGGAGGAGGGGCGTGGGGGCCAGAGAGGAGGAGAATATGCATTAGTTGTAGGGTTTGCATGGTGGTAGATACTTTGCGACTCTGACACATGGATGGTGGCGCTTTCCTCCAATGGCCTCTTGCGTCAGGGGATGGCTCCTAGTTCCCTGGAGAGTGCCATCATTGGTGGCGCGGATCTGTTGGGATCCAGCCCTCAGAAGTAAGATCTGTCTGAATGAGGAGCACCAGTTGGTGTTGGTATGGGTTATTGTAGCTTCATTCTGTCTCTGGGAAACAGCAGCATGGGGTGTCCCGTTGCTTTCCTGCCTTGCTTGGCACTTCCGGCGTCCCGGAGGTAACTTGCTGGTAGCTGTTCAAAACAAAAGGCCTCCGGTCTGTTCGAGGGGCACCGTTTGCATGGTTATACGGACCACAGCGCAATGGTATGCAGATTGACTGCAATCTAAGGCCATGGGACTACGCTGTTTCTTATCGAGTGGCCCTTTGGGTAGCGTGGTGTAGCGGTTAGAATGTCAGGTTAGTATCTGG